ACCTTAAACCATCTATATCCATTTAACAACCAGAACACCTTCTACCCCCTATTTCACCTTAAACCATCTACATCCATTTCACAGCCAGAATACCTTCTACCCCCTACTTCACCTTAAACCATATACATCCATTTCACAACCAGAACACCCTATACCCCCTAATTCACCTTAACCCATCTACATCCATTTCACAATCAAAACACATTTTACCTCCTACTTCAAATTAACCCATCTACATCCATTTCGCAATCAAAACACCTTCTACCTCCTACTTTACCTAAAACCATCTATATCCATTTAACAACCAGAACACCATCTACCTCCTAATTCACCTTAAACCATTTACTTCAATTTCACAGTAAAAATACCTTATATACCTACCCCCATCTCATCTTAAACCATCTCCACACATTAACCAAATCGTCCCACCCACAGGAAGGTATACAGCATCTTGGCAGTGCAGTTGATCTTGACGGGGGCCATCATTGGGCTCTTCTACATTGACTCCTTCAGGCAATGGAATCAAGAAAATCCAGGCTTGGTGATCGCGTCTGGTAAATGTCACTCTTTACAAAAAAATAATGTTGAATTTTTACTTTTAGTGATGGGTTTTGACTTATATATACAATATTGTTTCCGCGTTTTGTTTACGTGAGCGCAATGACCTTATGTCCTTATGATGAGTTTAGGACTTCGTAGTCTACGGTCAAGCTTATGCTCCGCCTTTGAACGATCTGTCGCTGATTTGACTAGATGTGCATGTGATGTAAGGATAGAAAAGTCATCATCGTTGATAAACAACAATGAAATTCAACACATTTAAGCAGTAAATTTTTAGAGTAAAAATCACAATACAATTACCATCATCCTATAAACAATTGGTTATCTTTTCAGCGGTTGCCACCATCGTGCTGATGATCGCACTGATCTGTGCCCCGGATATGCGCCGCAAGTCTCCAATAAACTTAATAGTTTTGCTGCTCTTCACGGCCTGCGAGGGCATGCTGCTGGGCTCTATCTGCGCTTGTTATGATGCTGACGCCGTACTCAAGGCCGCCATAGTCACCGCCATCCTCTTCTTTGGGCTCACCGCCTTCGCTTTCCAGGTTTGTTGGATGGAGTGCACTAAGTTAGGTGGAGTTTAAGGCCAACCGTATGCGCCTGTTTGTGATAGGTGGATAGTTTCTGTGTGGTTGGGAATATGGTTTACTATCTATCTTACTTATGGTTTACTATCTATCTATCTTATATTATCTATTTACTATCTATCTATCTATCTTTCTATCATAGATGCCAGCCTATCTTTGATAGGCTGGCATCTATGGGTGGAGCAAGGAAAGGAGTAAGATCCACCATCCGCGTAGGTCGCCATCTGAGCATTTTATGTATCATTGGGGAGCTTTCGTGTCCAGGAGGAAGTATTGATCACCATCTGCGACTGTTGGGATCTATTTAGTAGAAGAACTGGGGCCCACAATCTGTGTCGATTGGGATTGGAGGGAAGCCACTACTCTATCAAAAGTTTGAAAGTGGCTGCTTCTAAATTAAATAGGTATTTAGTTCACCAGCACGTAAATTAACAACTTTATGTCCGCTTTACGCTCTAGTTGTACGAGCGAAATAAGCGTCAGAACAGAATACAGTCTTAGACCGAGTGAGCTTTATAATTACGGCATTCGTGGGGCGAGCGTATTTGGCACCTGCTAGCTTCGGCACGGACACGGCCGAATCTGAAAAATGCGTTTAAAAATGACCCCTCCCTTTCCCCCTAATACTGGAGAGGAACACTTTTACCTATTGCGGGTACCAAACATTTTGCACATACGGCAATGCAAAACATTCTCTCACCTTAACCAGTGCTAAACCTTCTCTAATATTCGCCAGCACAAAACGTTCACTTATATACTGTTAAGCATTATTCCGCAATAATCACTTAAATCAGCCCTCAAAGTTCTCCCACAATATTTGAAAACAACAGCCTAGTGTATCTACAGGGCTAGACTTTAACCATTTCAAAAAGAGCTGACTCAATATGGTAGCGAATAATTTGTAATTCTTCGAAAATACACTCCTTAAAGCGAAATACGCTTACGATAACGCTCTTCATCCTTGTTCATTCAAATTTTGCTTGCAGCGGCTCGGTGGCAAAGACTCCCGGGCGCTAATCATGCAGTCTACTGTAGGTAATGCTTGACTTTCGTTTCCATAAATCGATTCAGCTATTATGGTAAATTATGAATTAAAACCTTGGGCATGTGAACAAAAGAAGCTCAAATAACACGCTCATGCGTGTTAAAATTTCTATGACTGCAGAAATCTTCACTGAACTTTGTTATTGAATTCTGCCATACCGGTGTCGGGTTTTCCAATGAACATCACTGCAAGAAGCTTTGGAGAGTAAAACTAATAAAGTTGTGCTCCTAAAAACGTTCAGAATTAACATGTTTTCCTTTAAAACAAATTGATTTCAAGTCGCATACATCAATTTCCACTGTACGATTACACAACACGACTGCCGCCAACGCCCACCTGGGCCTATACTTTCAAAAATAGTTAAGAGATCGTAAATTCATCAGCCAATCATTGACGGCCTTTCAAGCAAAATCCGCCAATCATAGACGATAAAATAGAGCGTAAGTACTTACGTTCACTTAGCGAGTTTTGAAAGTATGGCCCCAGCAGTCTCTGCGTCTGCTCACGTCCCCTGCATAGCCCTAAACTGGGGTGGGTAACCGCCGCCTTATGGGGGAATATAATGGGTGAGGGTTAAACATTTCACGAATCTAGCAGCAGATTTTGCGCATCGAACAGAATAAAGTAACTGCATGAAATAAGGAGCATAGAGTATGGACTAAGTTTTGTCAACGATGTCGTTTGAACCACCGAATTAAGTTTATATAAAACATTGCTTTTTTTGCTGTCTTTCAAGCAGCCTCTGATTTTTAAATGCGATAAAGTAAAAACTAAAGGTATCTTTTTGTAGAGAACAATATGCGTCATACACACAATGAAATTAAATTTATGCCACGTAACCCGGGTGTTCAAAATTTTGTAAAAATGTATCTATCATATGACTTTAACAAACGTCCGCGTGCACATCTACGCTATTCTATGAGTAGGAGATGGTAAGGTTGGTTGAGCCACCGTGAAGAAGTTTGACCAGCTGCTCTTTTCGGTTATATTAAGCAGATTTTGCCATCTGGCAAAGGACTCCCGAATAACTCATCTACATAGCAACGGAATATAGAAGAGGGCCGATTCATGCCTGATTCACCTCAAAGGAAACTCAATAGACTCCGACGCCGATACTTTCAAAAGAGTAAAGAGATCGTAAGTTCATCAGCCAATCATTGACGGCCTTTCAAGCAAAATCCACCAATCATTGACAAGAAAATAGAGCGTAAGTACTTACGTTCACTTAGCGAATTTTGAACGTATGGCCCCGGGGGCGACCCAAAATGGAACCTGAATTTCGACTGGGTAGTTTGTGGAAGGATGGAAGGAGTAGGGCTCACCTTTTGTGACGGTTTCGTTTATGAAATCATTATGGGTTGTGAAAGGTGTTTCATCATTAGCACTTCTCAGGCAGAGAGTCATGGAAATGGAACACACATGGAACACGTATTAATTTTTCTTTGTGTTGGCTCATCATAAAATTATTCTTCCAGATAAAAATTGACTTCATGACTTTTATCATTAGGACTACCTTTCACGATCGTTTAACTTTTACCCCTCTATTCCTACAGACGAAGATCGACTTCACGATGATGGCTGGGGCGTTGTGCTCCCTTGTGATGTGTCTCATACTTTTCGGCTTCATGTGCCTGATATTCCAAAGCAATACCATGGACAACTTGTATGCTGCCCTGGGAGCCTTTGTCTTCTCCTGCTTCATTGTAGTTGACACTCAGCTCATGATGGGAGGAAAGCGAAAATTGGCCATCAGTCCTGAGGAATACATTTTTGCGGCGCTAAATCTTTATCTGGATATTATCAACATATTCCTTTATATGCTGATGCTGTTTGGCAAAAAATAATTAGTGTCGTAAAATACAAAGAAAGCAATCTGGACGGCATTTCAGTGGTAGGCCGGCCAGAGTCGAAAAACACCGTGTCGCCTTTTTTTTCAATTTAACGCTAGAAATACGTCCCAAATTTGAAAAAAGGTGAAACGATCTATTTTCACTGCAGAGGGCAGGCCACTAGAACACCGGTCATACCGTTTTTAACCGTTATTTCGAACAGTATGTTAGATCTTTGCGAACGACTAGAGCCGGAAACTTGGCATTTTGTTTGAGCGCAATACCACATTTTTGGAAACTCGTTACAGTCTTAACGGTTACAAGTTAAATGAATACCTAAATTTACAAATTAAACCATTTTTAGGATTTCCGCATCGACAATGTAAGAAAAAAATTGGTTTCAAGTGTAATTATAACTGTGGCATTAAATTTTTCCATTTCTCGCGAGCGTGGGTTCAGGGGTGGATAGCTAGAGGTCAGCATAGCCCAAGTCCACAGTGCGATTCATATACCTTCCCGAGCGTAACGCAGCCGGTCATCTTCACGGCTTTTGACACATAGCGCCCA